ACGGCATGGATGAGGCATGCTCTTCAAACTTGTTCCTGATACTAGATATTTCCTTATTGGTAGTGTTTATTCTTCAATAGGTGAGCCTTTTTAAATGGCCTACAAATAGGGATGATGAAGGGAACAGAATGAAGAACTCGTCAATTATATTATGAAAAAAATGGAGACTTATTTTATCTTTTCTTTCTTTTAAAAAAAATACAAAGATAAAGCGTGTAAAATTTTTGGAGTGGGGGCGCGTGACATCTCTTCCAAGTAAAATATTGTACCAAGATGTGACGTCATGCGACATTTCGACACAATATATCCCAGTTATGTTTGAAAAAGGAAAAATACGTGTCGACTACTTTTTGATAATCTACCTGATAGGCGAAGAAAAAAAAAGTTAGTCATCACCCCTATTGTCTGTCTAATGTTAAGTATGAGTTCAGTCCTGTTATGAAGATGGTGGTGGCAGATAATGTGTAGCCTCAGCCAGCTTCATCTTATCAGCCGTTATTCCATTCGTCTAGCCCGTAGATCACAAAAAAATCATTATTTAGTTTTTTTTACGCAAGAATGACTTTATTTCACTTTAGTCGCGTATTTTATTCAAAGCTTCGAGTCTGAATATAATCCGGCAATTTTTCTATTAAAATAGCAAATCATTCCGAAAGGAGATTGCTCAGCTTCCATACATGTTTGGCCTAAAGACCAATAATCATGAAAAATTGTTTCCAAATTCGAAATTATATATAAATTACTGTAGAAACGAATATTATTGACGGACACCCCTGAGAACTTCAATAAACCATATACACTGAACATATTAAAATAATAAAAAACAAATAAGTTATATAGTAAACTATGGAAATCAAGCCAAGTACCGAAATTATGGATTAGATTCAGGTATATAGAGCATGTCCATTAACAGATAGTTGCCTATTTTTAAAGTTAATGCATAAGAGTAACTTTTAAAATCAGGTGTCATTTCCGGTTATAATAAAGTACTCTGTGACAGAAACTGTGTGATGATTGTGAATGAGCCACAGATTAGAGAGAATTTTTAAACTCTCGTTAACCAAAGAAAGCTAAGAGATTTAGGTTCTATAGCCATATATTCAGTAGCTTCATTATTTTTGTTATGTTTTTAAGATAACCATATTTAAGATTTTTAGTGTATCACACCTTATAATTTTATTTATTTATTAATTTATAGTCAGGGAACGTAGGTAGATAGATACCTTAAAGTCTAACATATAAACAGATTATAATGTGTTTATGGAGGTGTTGGGCGAAAAATGTATGGCAATAGACTTTATGATGTCGCCTACCATCTATAATAATTGTCTGAGCACATTTGCATCTAGTGAAAATTATAATATAGTAGTGGATATTAATACCACAGTGTAATAAAAAAAATATGTTTTCGATCTTTACAAAATAGATTTGTTTTTATGGTATATAAACAACTTCGATCAGTCTTTGGCTGAATGTTACTACACCCATAGCCATTAAAAATGATTCGTATGTTTTCCAAACCAGTAAAATTAAAAGTCCTTTTTAAAGTAAATATATTATACAAAGGTGTCCGTTGAAATCTAATGACTGTAAATTAAATTATAAATTACGCCAAGAATTACCGTGTATGTCAATATTTTTTGTGCATTTAGGCCAATTTGAGCAATCTCCTTTGAATTTGATTATGTTAATTGCGTTTATTTTAGAACGTGATTCGTGATGTCTGTAAGAAGTCTGATAAAGCATTCAAAAAGAGACATAAATATGGATTAGAATATATTCATTCAGAATCATTGAATTTAAATTATCAATAATTATAAGTTGATTGTTCAAACATCGTCGTTTTGGTTTTCTAATTATTTAGACTTAGCGGCCGCCCGCGACTAAGTTCGCGCGATAACTTTAGTTTTTGAGAATCTCTCAGGAACCTACTTTTTTAATATATATTTTTTTATAAAAAGTATCCTATGTTATCAAAATCCTTTCAGTAGTTTTCGCATGCTTCAGTTTCCAAACATACAAACACACAAATATACAAACTTTCACATTTATAATATTGCACTGCAATATACCCACTGCAGGGGTACAAGCCTTCCCTATGGATGGAATAAGGTAATTTATGATATTAGTAGTATATAGTAGAAAGTAGGATGGTGATTGAAATTACTTTAGATCTATGCAATAACCATTGATATGTTAATCCTTTATGAAACGCCCCTTATTAATAAACTAAGAATAAGCTTGGATTAGTAGTTCCATGTTTTGTCTCTGTTCATTGATCGACAAATAGCATTTGCGTGATATATGAACAAAACACGGAGTAACTAGTCTAAACTTATTCTTCGTTTATTAATAAGGGGGTAAAAGTATAAATAAGTAGAGCGGTGTTTACCTACATTTTTCATTAAGATCACTGTAAACAAATTGTATTTCATCACGATGAAAAACTACGTATAGATCCAGATTATATATTCTCGACTTTTACAGACATTTGTAATTAGCTCAGAACACATAAAAAGTAATAAGTAAAGGAAACTAATAAAGTCGACAACCACAGATCTGGAGCTGCTATACTAACGAGTTTCGCGTTTGAGATTTTAATTAAAATTATTTCTTTATAAATATTAGACTGTACAGTTTGTTATTTATTATTTTAAACTAGTACCTAAAATATATATCCCAGCGGAATTTTGTCCAAAATTTTCTTTTGATATTTGCTGCTAAACTGCGTATTTGTGAGGTATAAAAATAAACTGATGAACCTATGAGTATCTTTTTACATTTACACGATATTTAACGACATTTACACGATATTATATTTTTACACCAACAACTACATACCTTTCTGTACCTATATATGTAAGTACTTATATCTATATATATAAAACTCAAAGGTGACATAGTGATCTATCAACGCACAGCCCAAACCACTGGTCGGATCGGGCTGAAATTTGGCATGCAGGTAGATGTTATGACGTAGGCATTCGCTAAGAAAGGATTTTGATCAATTCTACCCCCAAGAGGATAAACTAGGGAATGAAAGTTTGTATGAAACTTTGTCAATTTTAAACCGATCATAGATGTCATTGTGTATAATACAGGCCTGAGAACAAAAACTGTAGTCTACACTTTAGCTCCACACCGAAGCGAAGCGAGGGCGGGCCGCTAGTTTAAAGTATAAAGTATCATTCTACGCTTGTCTGTATATAGCTAACTCCTAATATATGATACACGTACGTAACTCGACCAACGTAATTGATGCAGTTTTACCATCAGTTACGTAATTAGTCATAGAGGTTTATCATGTATGATGCAAGTCCGAGAACAAAAAACTAAAGAATACGAAGCAAAGTGGGAGCTAGTCACTAATTAACTTATAATAGACATCCTAGTATTAAGCACAGCATAGATTCATTTTTAATTGTTATCTAAGCCAGTCAAAGTTGAATTGGAAACTTTCCATGCCAGTATTCTAATCCAACTTGGACCGGCGTATCCTCCTACCTTTGATCAACAGTTGATCGAAACCCCCACATTACAAAAAACTGCAACAGAGCAGCTCTATTATTCAGTGTTAATTACAGTATAAAACTAAAATCAAGGTACGAAAGGTGCGAGGCAGTTCATAGGTATAACTGCCACCTCTTTGGATATGAAGCAATCACTGATTTTATAATAAGTATGTGTCCGAAAGATCTAGCATATATGACGCACAGAATGGTACATGAAAAGTTTTCCAAGATTCAATTAAACGAATTTGGAAACATAAACGCAATAGCGAATTCAGCTTTGCGAAATCAGTAATGTACCTATCTAAATAAAGTTACCTAACTACATAGCCTTTAAAAACATTTTCAACCCACTTGTTCCAAAAATGTATTTACGAAGGACGTAGAAATTGTTCGTAAGGTCAAAATTATGACCCATCTAACGGAGCATGCGATAAAACATTTTACCACACGCTTCCGTACATGGCGCTGTGCGTATTCTTTACGGTATTTTTTATTTCGGTCGAATCTCCTTGGAAGCACTCATACAAAAAAGCGTGTGCGTTTTAGGATGCGACAGAAGGGATAACTTAAACTAATCTAAGCGGTGCTGCGGGTTAGAGTGAGTTAGAGAGAGGAAGAGTATCTACTAACAGAAACTTGTTAAACTAAATGAGCACAGGAGATTTTTAGATGAAAAGAGAATTGGAGGGTGAAAAGTGATTGGAGGGTGATAAAGGATTGGAGGGTGGGTGAAAGTGGGGATTTATGTGAGATAATAGGGGATTGGTGGATGATAGTGGGGATTGATGGGTGAGGGAGTGAGGTAGGTCTGGGGATACCCCTCTGGTAACTGGGCGGACTGTGGCGTCTATCTCCTCCGGCGGGGGGAGAGCGCAGCGAAGGAAAGCCAGACAGACTTGTTGAGCAAATGTGTTGAAAATAACTATTTTTTTACCAAAAGTATGAGTACTTGTTCGTCTCTTACACTGGATTCCAATTTTACGTCATGTTCAATATAACTTCTAGTCTTGGAAAAAAGTTTATCATTTCCAATTCCCAACAATAAAATAAAATTGTCGAAAAAAACTTATTCCGCCAAAGGTAAGCTAACAAGCGCTTATAAAAGTTGCTTGCCATCAATTTGACAAGTCTACACGGATGGGATATTTCGGGAATTATATAGTCTAGAAGCGGCAAAATTAGAGTTTCTCAGTCAGTCCATTTTATTTCCGGTCTATGTTACATTAGTTAAATTTCCTCAATAGCTTTATAAATTATAGTCTAGGTGTTATTCTGATGTAACGTATGAGCTTTATTTTTGTAGTTTCATTAAACTCTATTTCAGTAGTTTTTGCGTAAAAGAATAACAAACTTCCATACAAACTGTCGCATTATAAATTAGTAGGATTATGTTACCACAGAAAACATAGTTAAGAAATTCAACGTGTTGTAAATGGTGATATTTTAGTTTTATTATTTGATTTTAATCATTTAATTATTTATTTGCAGATAAAATGGGATATTTAACGAGATTAACACTGGTTGCAGTATTAATATCACAGGCCTATACAGTAAGTATTTCATAAATGCATGCATGCACAATGTATAAATGGCTTACCTTTACTACACTTCAAAAACATCTGCTTTTCAATCATTTTGTGAGCTCACGCAAGACCGTTATATCATAACAGTACACAGAATTATTGAATAAAACTTTGTATTAATGTGATATAAAGGTATATTTGCTACCTAATAATGTGTACTATACAACTACACATATCGGAAACTGACAATTGTGAATTACCTACTACCTACCTACGTTATCCTTCTATTAATGTAAAAAAAAGTATACATACCTAAATTTGTTTGGATGACACATTTTCCTGAAAAAATATAAGGTAACAGCGGGACTTTTAAAAAAACGTACTGCAGAACGTATTCGCTGTAATAAATGGTGTTATTGCTTTGTATATTTTGTTTTTGCTATTGTGTGGATTTGTAATATTTAATTTCTGCGATAGTATTATTTTCGCTCAAACAAATTGTGGATGGTAAAACAGAAGATATACTTACGAAAAACCGAAGAAGTTTCTTTTCAAACCTTTTCTACTAATTCTAGTAAATTAAGTAGATATTTGAAATCTATAAGAAAGACAAAAATATTGCACATTAAGTATCATATAGTCGTGATTTCTTTCTTACCAGTGCCCATTTTTACTAACGGTGCTGTTTCTTTGTGTACAAGTCAAGTAAAGTATTTATAACAGCTAATTTATATTATTCTAGGAAAATCCTCTAAAGTAAGTTTCTAGGCATTTAATTATGGTCATTGTTTAAATATAATTTCACTTTGAATATAAAAATAGAACGCTTACTGCAAACAAAAATTTAACTCCAAGTATAATTCGTAAACTGATTTATAACAATTATATTCAATTCTCTATTTAGTATACACAGTGCTACAATATTAGCACTGCTGAGATTAGGAACTAAATAATGGGTTTTAGTTCTCCAAAAAACATTATTGTGACGTAGGAATGTACTTTACTTTTCAAAATACTTAATTCCAAATTATTTTGCTAAATTTATGTAAAACCCGATATATTAAAAAGTCTTATTAATTTCAAGGAAAACCCACAAAGCATTTAAACGGGTTTTACCATAGTTTTATTTCTCTTTTTTTCTCTCACTTGTTTAACTTGCGTAATATTGTCTGACCACAAAACTTATTGAAATGCATCAAAATAATAATTATCAACTTCATTCATATCCTCTATTAGAAAAACCAGTTATTCAGTCCGTTATAGAATTCGGTTTTGGTTTTTTTTGTTATTGCTAAAATGTTTTGAAATATGCATATATTAAGAGTTATTGAAAAACTACTAAAATTCAATTTTACGACAGAAATATGAGAAATATCTAGGAAAATTTAAAGGTATTCTCAAAATGTTTTAAAATTAACGTTTCTTTCCAACAAAATTGTTTATAACTAAAATATGTGTCAAAATATAGATATATTATGATAAGAGGATCAAAATTAACGTTTCTTTAAAAATAAAACAATTTTTATCTAAATTGTATGTAATACAACGTTCGGCTATAATACCATTAGTTGTTGGGTAGGTAATAATGGAAACAGCCTTGTATTTTTACGGCGTGGGAACTGACACAGTCTCTGGAATCAACTACAAAGCTACAATATGTAGTTAGCATAAGAGACTGTGAGATACCAATTTACTGAGTTTAATTGAACTACTAATCATTTGCAAACTGTTTCCTTTTTATGTTAAATTGATGCAGCTGTATGCCTCAAAACTTAAGTGGAATTCGAAATACACACATCAAAAGTGTCTAGGGATCAAGCATTTTTATGCGGATTTCTTGAGATTGAGATGTGGCTTTGTAATAAATTTATGATTTTATAAATTTATATGGATCCTTTTTGGTGCATTTCATAATTTGAATCAGGAACTGTGAATCAAATTCGAGTAAAAGATGAAAATCAGCTGTCAATATTTTCCCTATAAAAACATACAACGCATTGAAGACATTATTAGTGCTACTGTTTCCCTACTACTGATTAAAACCAACGTTATTATGGAGCGGCGACGTCATTTAAGCAGGGAAGAAATGCTCAGAGCCGTGGGAATGATAGAAGCTGGTTCCCGGCAACGTACTGTGGCTTTAGCTCTGAATACAAGTCAGAGTGTTATCAGTCGACTTTGGACACGATACCGAAGCACTGGTACCGTGGCTGAGCGCCATGGAGGACGGTATCGCTGCACCACACGGAGACAAGACCGATACATTCAAATCTTAACTCGAAGAGCTCCAACAATAACCGCCATGATGTTAGCCGTGAGGCTTCATCACTCTTCAGGGAACTTAATTAGCGACCAAACAGTCAGAAACCGCTTGCATGAAGTGAACCTTCATTCCCGAAGACCGCTACGGGTACCACCTATAGCAATGCACAATCGTAGGATTCGATATCAATGGGCTCTTGAACACAGAAATTGGGCAGAAGAACAATGGCGTTTCGTGTGCTTTTCTGATGAGTCTCGTTTTGGTATGAGACCGGATACAAGACGTATACGACACTGGAGAACCCCTGGACGCCAACAGCGATTAAAATCCTGCCAGGAAGTCCATCCTTATAGTGGTGGAACCATCATGGTATGGGCGGGTATTTGGATCGGCGGAAGAACTGAGTTGATTTGGATCAGAGGCAACCTCAACGCTCAAATTTATGCTGAGACGATTGTATCAGACGTCATCGTTCCTCTACAAGTGCAAATCGGTCCCTTATTTCAGTTAATGCATGATAATGCACGACCGCACACCGCAAGAGTTGTAAGACAGACTCTCGCCGCAGCTAACATCAATGTCCTGCCCTGGCCTGCTCAGTCGCCAGACTTGAACCCGATTGAGCATGCATGGGATATGCTACAGAGAAGAGCTCTGCCGAATATGGAGGGTATCCAGTCGCAAGAAGACCTTTTTTTGTTGTTGCAACGAACATGGGCGGCCATTCCACAGCGTGATTTGGATGAACTCATTTTGAGTATGCCAAACCGATGTTCTTGTGTTGTTAGTGTTCGCGGTAGAAATACGGATTATTAATTGTTTAAGTTACCCAATAAAATTTTAGAGAAAACTGTTATTTCAGTCTTTTTTTCGAACTTTTGTGTTAGTGGTTCAAATGTCAAAAATCCCTTTATTAGGAAAATGGCAAATTTCTTTATTAATGCAAAGGTGACTTGGTTTATCGTTACTGTGACAAACGAAAACACTTTATTTGATGAATCCTTAAAGAAAATTTTAATTAATATCAATCAGGAGAAAAGTTATTGCAAAAATATATGTTGATCCCTAGACACTTTTGATGTGTGTATATGGGAATCGTTATAACCCTAGATAACTTGACATTCTCGATGGAGAAGTTTTCGATATTCTGAATAAGTTAGTACTTGTGTTGTCAATTAATTGTTTACAGGGTATTACGAAATATAATTGCGTATATACAAATTAAATTGCCTAAGAAACCTTGTTAAAGAGGAAAAAAATGAGTCCAGGTAATAAATTTGTTTAAGACCCAAAAAATTAAAGTACAAAATGGTTTTGGAGACAATGTTTTATAATTTTTATGTCCCTTTGGCAAATTTCAATAAGAAACAGTATCTTAATTATTGCATTATTATGTTTTGTATGCAATGTTAGTATATTATTCTGTTAGTTAATTTTATTATATATTTGTGGCAAAACAGTATTAAGTACCTATGTGATTGCGTTATATTGTAATTTAAAATTGTTCGGATATGTCTAAATATGTACTTTCAATTCTGATTCTGAATACAGTACGGTTGTGTTATTTGTGTAATACGGGAAATTGTGCCCTACAAATAGGTACATATTTAAATTGTCGATTCATGTGTAAACTTCGATCTCATGCGTGTTGTGGGTGTAATTATAGACCGAATCGGCCGTGTTTTACAGAAAATGGCAAAAAAATACATATTATACCTACGTAACACAAAATATGGTTATATTACCTCTCCGAATCATCTCAAATTTAATAACAAAATATCACTTTGCAAGTCAATTGATTGGCTATCTAAGTATAATATGTTGCTTTCGGAATCAGAAATTAAAGATAATTAAAAACCACATGGATTAAAGATATCCACGCATAATATACGCATATAATTTGAGCATTCTTTCATTCATTGCAGTTACTTATTTAAAAAAAAAATTACATATTTAAACGTGACTTCGACTTCATTTCTCTAATAGTAAAGATAAAAAGCATGTAATATGAAAAAACAATCAAATTATCAATAATAATTGGCATGCTGTTAATTAACAGCAGCATCTATTGGTCGACATTCAGCCTAATTTTATTATTTTTTATGGCGGTACGAAGTTTGCTGGGACAGCTAGTTATCCTAAAACATTCAATGTTTAACACAAGATATATGCTTTTTTCTTATTTAGTGTGTTTCTTTGACCTTTTCCAAAAGAAATAGAAGGTCCATTTGTAGTTGTTAGTTTGTATTATTAACATTAGTTACTTACTTAGTTTGTATTTAAGGATTAGTTATTTCATGTAAGTCACAGCACATGATACCATGCAATAGTAATTATTTTAATACGCTCATTTAAAAACAATGAGCCTTCCGTAATGGCGTAAGTTACACCCAGTTATTGCGTGGAACCTTCCATGATTCAACTATAAAACATCTGAGATTATATTATGAAGTCTTAGCGTTATGCAGTTACTATTGTATGAGGAAGATCACTACATGCAAAGTAGAGCAGCATCCCGCTTCAACCGCTACCTTTGGCTCGCATCGCTACGCAAGATCATAATACAACGTCGTTGTGCGACAAGAAACTTAGTGACGTTAGAGGTTTAATTGTTATTATTCTTTAATAAAAACAGTCATTTTATACATATAGAAGCATACATAAAGACCCCAGAAAATGTTAAGAAAATATTTATTCTTAGTAGTTATTTATACAAAACATAAAAACTTGCAAACATATATTTTTTCTATGGATTTCTTTAAGA